ATGATCGGCTTTCTACTGGGGCCCCTCTGATTGTGTGCCGTTAAAAAGTGGGAGAAGGGGTCCCTAGCAGACTTGCCTGGAAGGAGCCTGTAGAGGGTTAGTTGTGTAGGGAGATTGGCCTGAGCACCTCCTCAGAAGTTGCCATCCTCGTCTTGGCGTTTCCCGAGCACCTGTAATCGAGGGGTCAGGCACAGCCCTGGTGCGGGGTTGGTTGGAGACCTGACAGGTTGCCAGCCGGGCCCAGCCTGTAGCCGTGTGTTGAACAAAGAGAGACGGTCTGGTGGTTTTCCCTACTATCCTCCCAGTTGACAGTTCCCTTCTGGTTGGGAGACAGGATTCTTAGCACCTTTGGTGTCAAAAGCTGTCTTGGGGTTGTGCCAATTCATTACCAAACATTGAGCCTGTGGGCTTTAAGCGGGAGTGTCAGCCCCATGAGCCTTATCTCAGTCAGTCACCTTCCTAGACAATAGGAGCGGCTTCCCTTTCATTCCTTCTCTTCACTCCACTTTCTCGTTTCCCCATTCTGCATCCCACCGCTTTCCCGTTCTCTCTGGGTGGTAGGGAGAGTGACTCCTGTGTAAGAACACTCCCTGTTGGGCATAGGATGTGCCTACAAGATGTTCCCTGAGCCTGTAAGCACTCCCAGTGGGAAAGTGGACAGGAGCCATTGGCTGTAACCAGACAGAATTTGGAGATGTTTTCATAAAGCTCCACTGAGAGTTTTAAAGAAATATATGTAGAAGAGGAAGATTATTTAAATAGGATTTGAATCATGCAACAGTCAGAGTTTCACAACCAGGATGACCCCTGGGTCCCATTCCTAGGACATGGTAACTTTATTTTCCCCTTGTTAAGACATAGGAAGACTTAATTTTTAAATGGTCAGTGTCCAGTTGAAGGCAGAACACTAATCAGATTTCAAGGCCCAAAACTTGGGGACTAGACCACCTTGTATTGAGGGACCTCTGCCACCTGTGCAAAATCTGTGGCTAAAGCAAATGAAATGAAATGACACTACTGCCCTGATTACTCCTTAGGATGTGGTCAAAACAGCATCAAATGTTTCTTCTCTTCTCTTCTCTTCCCCAAGACGGTGTCCTGAACCTGTTAAATTAAGTCATTGGATTTTACTCGGTTCTGTTTACAGTTTACTATTTAAGGTTTTATAAATGTAAATATATTTTGTATATTTTTCTATGAGAAGCACTTCATAGGGAGAAGCACTTATGACAAGGCTATTTTTTAAACCGCGGTATTATCCTAATTTAAAAGAAGATCGGTTTTTAATAATTTTTTATTTTCATAGGATGAAGTTAGAGAAAATATTCAGCTGTACACACAAAGTCTGGTTTTTCCTGCCCAACTTCCCCCTGGAAGGTGTCCTTTTCGTTGTTTAATGTGTAGCTTGTTTGTGCCCTGTTGACATAAACGTTTCCTGGGTTTGCTCTTTGACAATAAGTGGAAAAGGAAGGTGCCCCCAGCACTATCGGGCCACTCCCCTCCTTCCCTCGTCAGAGCTCCTGAATGGCTGCGGTAGGGTCTCGACACAGCGGTTCCTCCTCCTCTTGCCCGCCTCTCTCCCTCCTTCCTGGCACAGCCCAGTGCTGAGAGGTGAGCGCCAGCACTTCCCTGTCTTTCCTCCTTCAGAGTTATCAACCAAGCTGAATGGCAACCTGATGTTTTCCATCACCATCTGCCTCGTAGGTCACCTCGTCCCCCCCCTCTCTGCCCACCAAGTCCTCACGCCTGCAAAGACCCCCTGGGTCCCCCCATGCCCTCTTTTGGGCAGCCCGTTGAAACTGAAGCACAGTCTGACCACTCACGATAACGCAGATGCTCCTCGGCCTGTCAGCCACGAGGTTTCAGAGCAGCGTAGTCCAGTGGAGGGCAGGGCGCCTCTTCTCACCACAAGCCCATTCCTCCGGAAGGAAGTCTAGCAAAGCAATACGACTCAGCCCAGCGCTCTCTGCCCCGGGACTCACGGCTCTGCTGTGCCTTCCACCCTGGGCTCCCTGTTCTTCCGTGACCTTAATTAAGAACTTTGGTGGCTCTGCTGGAACACTGTCACTGTTTCCTCTGTTGTGCAGGGAACCCAGCACTGTGGCCAGGATGGCAGAGACTCCCTGTCATCTCAGAGAAGTGCCAGCAGGGGCCTGGGGCAAAGCAGTCTGCCCAGACCTCACCTCCCTTCCTCCTTTTGCCCGTGAACAAGATACAGTGGCCCAAGGGGTTCCACTGGTGTCTGGTTTCCTTTATTATTGCACTGTGTGAGGTTTTTTTGTATATCCTTGTATTCCTTTTTCTTTTTTTTTTTAAAGAAAAAAAAAAAAACCTTAAGCTGCATTTGTTACTGAAATGATTAATGCACTGACGGGTCATGAATTCACCTTGAGGAAGACCCAAAGGCCAGTCGGGAGTGGGGGAAACTCAGCTCAGTAGACCTAGTGACTGCCCTGCTAGGCCGCGCTGTACTGTGAGCCCCCTCCTCATCTCTTTCTACCAACCCCAAACCCTGAGGCCGGGGAGGGACCCCCAGCTTCCTTCTCCTGCCAGCTGCAGATGGTTTGCCTTGCCTTTCCACTCCCTGTCAACCACAGAAATGAGGAGTTCCTCCTAGATCTCAGCCTTGAGTCCATTGCCAAAATTCAGCGTACCTGCCAGCAACTTGGGGATTAAGCTAAGGTTTTCCCTGCAAGAGGGAAAGAAGGCGGGAAAAAAAACAACCACAAAACCGGCATAGCCATCTCCAAGACACCTCTGAGTCTGTTGTGAAAGTGACCAAGGGGATCTCCGCACAAAAGTGCAGACTGAGGAACTATGGTGGGTTGTTCCCAAGAATCCCCTAAGGGGCACCCCTAATCCCTAGGGGGTCACAGCTGCAAACCGGGTCAGTTCTCAGTGAGAGAGCCAGCTCACTTACAGCTTTGCTGCTAGAACCTCTTGTGGCTGCATTTCCTGGTGGCCAGCGACAACTGTGTAACCAGAGGAGCTGCATGGCGCTGACCCTTTGGCCGGAACTTGGTCCCTTTGGCTCCCTCCGTTACCGTCCGCCACCTCCAGCCCAGCCCCTCCTGTTTTTAGACCAATAACCAGAATCAAGGGGGAAGCCCTGGCAGCTTTATATATATATAAAAGTTTTCAACCAGACTCCTTTGCCGGGATCCACTCCGCCACCCCGCTTGCCTCTGTCAACCCCCCCGGCCAATGCTGTGAGCACCATGCAGCTCCCTTGATTTAAAAAAAAAAAAAATACAACAACAACAAAAAAAAACAACAAAAAAAAACCTTCTAATGAATGTATCTTTCTAAAGGACTGACGTTCAATCGAATATCTGAAAATACTAAAGGTCAAAACCTTGTCAGATGTTAAGTTTGATTTGGGATTTTTTTTTTTTAATAGAAATCAAGTTGTGGGTTTTTTGGTGTTTGTTTTTTTTTTTTTAAAGGAAAAGCGGGTCATTGCAAAGGGCTGGGTGTAATTTTATGTTTCGTTTCCTTCATTTTAAAGCAATACAAGGTTATTGAGCAGATGGTTTTGTGCCGAATCATGAATACCAGTCAAGTCTCACACTCTGAAACCTTGCAACTTTTTTGTTTTGGTTTTCAAATAAATATAAATATGATATATATAGGAACTAATATAGTAATGCACCATGTAACAAAGCCTAGTTCAGTCCATGGCTTTAATTCTCTTAACACTATAGATAAGGATTGTGTTACAGTTGCTAGTAGTGGCAGGAAATTGTCAGTCTGGCGCTCCTCTGATCCCCCCACATGGGAGGAGACTCCAACTCTAAGGGGATGGTAAAGCAGTCCATTCCCGGGATCAGAGAGAAATGCAGAAATGGTGTCACCTGGGTTTTTTCTGCCTGTGAATGTTGCCAGTCAGTACCTGTACTCCTTGTTTCTCTATTTTTGGTTATGAATGTTGGGGTTACCACCTGCATTTAGGGGAAAATTGTGTTCTGTGCTTTCCTGGTATCTTGTTCCGAGGTACTCTAGTTCTGTCTTTCAACCAAGAAAATAGACTTGTGGTGTTTCTTTTATTGAACTTTTAACAGTCTCTTTAGTAAATACAGGTAGTTGAATAATTGTTTCAAAAGCTCAACAGAAGACAAGCTTCTTTTCTAGGAATAAGACCTTTCTTGACAACTTTATCATGTATAACAGATCTTTCGGTTTTGTTTTTTTTTTTTCCCTTGTGTTCTTCCAAGCTTCTGGTTAGAGAAAAAGAAAAAAAAAAAAAAAAAGGAAAAAAATGTGTCTAAAGTCCATCAGTGTTAACTCCCTGTGACAGGGAAGAAGGAAAATACTTTAATAGTTCAAAAAATAATAATGCTGAAAGCTGTCTACGAAAGACTGAATGTAAAAGTAAAAAGTGTACATAGTTGTAAAAAAAAAAGGAGTTTTTAAACATGTTTATTTTCTATGCACTTTTTTTTATTTAAGTGATAGTTTAATTAATAAACATGTCAAGTTTATTGCTGCACATGGTTGAACTTTCTTTTGGCTTTGGCTGAGGTGGGAGGGCTGTGGCCCATGACCTGATTACAAAATCTCTTCCACAGTCCTTTCTTTTAAGGTGGAATCTTGAAATCATTCCCTTCTGTCAGGTCTCACTCTACACTGCCTCTCTTAATCGTATTTTCTTCTCTTGTTCGTCAGTGATATATATTTGGGACCTAATTAACTCTGGATGTGAGGAAGGGGTCAAGAGAACAAAAGAATAGTTCCTTTACTTCCTACAAATACCCAGTCTTCATCCACAGGCAGTCAGGCATTGGCTTCTAACAATTTCTTCCCAAATCTGTGAGTATAAAGAAAACATTTCTGGGAGATGGACAGTACCCTCTCTCTTGGCTCCACTCCACCTTAAAGCTGAAATGGGATTTACTTTTTCTGTTTCTCCCTCAGACTGGGGTGGGGGTAGGGAAGCAGTTGAGAAATACTTGTAAATATTCAGCCAAGCCAGGGTCACTGTCCCCAGGCTGAAGGGGCTTGAGTTTACACTCCAGCCGAAGACTGGATAACACTCCTCTTGGGAGCTGGTCCTCAAACAGACCTCCTCCCTCTGGATCAGGTAGAGGCTTAAAACTGACAAGAGGCTCAGCCCTCAGCCTTTTTTCCTTCCCCTCATTGTGAGTCACCTTTTTAATCTGCGAGTTGAACACCATGGGGACTCCAAATGATCAGGCCGTCTTGCAGGCCATCTTCAACCCCGACTCCCCATTTGGAGATATTGTTGGGTTGGACCTGGGAGATGAAGCAGAGAAGGAAGTAGATGAAGGTGAGTATTTGACCTTGGAATCCAGCTCTCCACACTGGCTGGTCTGCTACCTCACTGGGGTGGCGGAAGTAGGTGGTCTTACAAGGTTGCTCATTCCCCAACACTTGGATGATGACTGCTGATCCTCAGTGCACTGATGGAAGCTTGGCAAGAGTCACTGAACCCAGAGGAGAAAGCCAGAGTTTGTCTTCCAACCCTGCCCCATGTTTAACTGTGGTGGCGGGGAGCGGGGCCATGTGAAATTCACACACGTTTGTTAGAACAGATGGTATCACCCTCCACGGCATGGAAGACAGAAACAGGGCAGGGGGTAGCTCAGCTAATCAGTTTCAACTAAGCAAGCATTCAGTGTCACCTTTAAATGCCAAGCCCTGAGCTAATGCTTCCAGGTTGAACATGCTCACTGGCTTTTCTACTGGCCCATAAGAGGGACTGTCACCATCCGGAAGTTTTGATGCTCTTTATTTCTAAAGGAGCGAAGCCTAAGTCTTAATGAAACTTTAGGCTGAAAAGCTGAGGGAAACATTGCAAAAGGTTTTCGTGACCCTGTATCATGGAGGCCTTCCTGTTGGAAGCAATGCACTAGAACAAAATGGGGACATACTAATGAGTCGGAAAGACCTGGGTTCCAATCCAATCTGTGCAACTTCTGGGGGGTGTGACCTTCAACCAGTGATTTAGCTACAGGCTAGAGAGTTTGGGTTTCATTCTGTTGGCACTGGGGAGCCAACCAAGGCCACTTTCCCAGGTCTCTTTGGAACTAGGCAGTGCCAGAGCTCTTCCTCAGTGGCCTCTGCTCCCCCTGCCCCAAACACTGCATCTGATTGTAGTGACCTGCACCCTGCCTGGTCAGCCCCGGCTCATGTCCCAGGTTCCCAAAGCCCAAGGGGACTGTTGCTTCCTGCTGCTAACCTCCTGGCTAGCTGTTTCCTCCTGGCTCCCTCCCCGGCACAGATGAAGTTTTCCCGCGAGCGCAGCTGGAGCAGTCCAAGGCCCTGGAGCTGCAGGCGGTGATCGCAGCAGAGGCTGGTGACCTCAGCACAGCCCTGGAGAGGTTTGGCCAAGCCATCAACCTATTGCCTGAGAGGGCCTCAGCCTACAATAACCGAGCCCAGGCCCGGCGTCTCCAGGGGGATGTGGCAGGTGAGGGGAGGGTCCCTGGAGCCTGTGCAGGGCGTCTGGGAGGACACAGACCAGAGATGCTGTGGCCATGGGGCTTGGACATGGAGTGTGGGAAGTCACTGAGCTCTGGAACCTACGTCCCTACTCATAAGAGATACGTCATGGGCCCTGCTGATCTCTTGGGGATATTGTGAGAGAGAGACTACAGTCTGTTTATTTACAACATTTAATGAGAGCCTATATTGTAGCAGTGGGCTAGGTGCTGAGGACTCTTAACAGCAATTACTATGTGCCAGGCACTAAGCCCTTGTATATATTTTCTTAATGGTAACTTTATTCTCCTACTTTCTAAATCTGTTAACCAACAGCTTTCTGTACAAGATGCATCTTGTCTTTCCTCTTTAATCATGGATTCAGAAATTCCGTTTTTTGGTTTTTTTGTTTGTTTGCATTGGGTCTTTGCTGTGGCACATGGAGGGGGCTTTTCTATTAATAGTTTGGCGCATGGGCTTAGTTGCCCCATGGCGTGTAGGATCTTAGTTCCCTGACCAGGGATCAAACCCCCAGCCTCTGCATTGGAAGGGGACTGAACCACTCGGGAAGTCCTGTTTTAAAAATAATAAAGGTTTTTAAAATTTATTTTTATTTCTTTTTTGGCCATACCCTGCAGCATATGGGATCTTAGTTCCCTGACCAGGGATTAAACTCATTCCCCCTGCAGTGGAAGTGCAGAGTCTTAGCCACGACCACCAGGGAAGTCCCCTGACTGAGCACTTTACATGTCAGTTGTCATCATTTGTTTAGCCCTCACTACAACACTAAAAAGGTGCATGCTCTTGTCTCCATTTGACAGATGTTACACTAAAGCTTGGAAGTTAAGTAAAATAGCTTGCTAGTCATATAGCTGAGAAGTGGCAAAGCTGGGATTTGGTTCAGGTGGCAGGGCTTAATCCCCACGTGATACTGCTTTTCATGAAGCTCAGCCTTGAGTGCAGGACAGACACAAACCTAATAGCCACATAATAAGCTGAGAGGGTTCAGCTTGGGGGTCTGTTCCTGAGGGGTGAGTTTTGGAGATGAGTAGGAGTTAGCTGGTTGGAGGGCAGCGAGTGGGAAAAGGCACGGCCTGTAGAAGTCCAGAAGTCCTGGACAGGTACAGGGAGCTTCAGATCTCCACTCTGGCTGGAAAGGGAGGGCTGGAAGGATGGAGTCTCTTCAAAGCCTGAGGTAAACAGAGGCCAAGAGAGCAATGAACTGGTAATATAAGGCCATGATCGAACTCTGTCTTGAAAACACCAGGAATCACTGAAGAGTAACCCACAGAAGCGTGGTAGGGAGCTCCTAGGGCACTTGTGGTAGTGGTGTTCCTGGGGCCAGGAGTGCCAGGTTGGGGAGGCTGGGCTCCATTCTGAGGATATCGGGGAACTCTGAGGGCCCCTTTCCCAGGCTTGTCTGCCACCAGTTTGGCAGAGCAAGGCCATTAAGGCTGCTGGGGAAAGCCTACAGACCAGAACCCCAGAGAGCATCCAAGGGGTTTCTGCCTTCAGTTCCTCTAGACCAGCTCCTCTGAGGAAAATCAACAAATGCTGTGATTAGAGAGCTTCTCAACCCACCAGGTGGGGTAGGGAGCAGAGCCCCTGCTGCGTTCTGAGAACCAAAACACAGAGGACGGGGGAGATCAGCCTTGGTGTAGGATGCTGCTGGCACTCCCCTAGCTCCCTGCCGTGATAGGCTCAATAGACTGGAGGACAGGAGTGAACGGAAGCAGAGCCCAGAACAAATGCAGCTCGGTGGACCTACTGTGGATACCAACTGGCTGCCTGAGGCTGAGTTCAGAGCTCTGATGCCTAAGAAGCCAAGTATTTACGAGGGTGACAAAAGTGCTGCAGACCAGCTCTGGCTCCAAGACCTCCTTCAAAGAAAATTAGATACAAAATAATGAAGACCATGGAAATAAAGAATAAGGAGAGGCAGTCAGTAGAGAACACAGGTGAGAGAAGCTATTTTAAGGCATACAGAGGAAAAGGAGAGAAAATGTCTTGAAAAGTTAGAGAAGGATGTCTCTGGGTGATCCAGTTGCTAAGACTACATGCTCCCAATGCACAGGACCCAGGTTCAATCTCTGGTGAGGGAATTAGATCCCACATGCTACAACTAAGACCCAGCACAGCCAAATAAATACATAAAAATACGTATTAAAGGGGGGGAAAAACGTTAGAGAGGGACTTTCATAGTGGTCCAGTGGTCAAGACTGCCCTTCCACTGAAGGGGCAAGGGTTCAATCCCTGGTCACGGAATTAAGATCTTGAATACCGCCTGGTGCAGCCAAAAAAAAAAAACAAAAAACGGACTTTATTGTGTAAGAAATAGTTGTCAGTTGATACTAATGCTTTTGGACCCTGGGATTCAGAGTCAGTCACCTGGCTAATAATAGAAGGTTAATAATGGATGTGTGGAAGAAACCACCTGCTTCGTGCCGGGCAACAGGAGCAGGTTCATAATATAGTGACCACCCCTGTTCTGATATATCAGATGGTGGAAAATAACACGGACAAGGCGAGACCTGGGCTTCAGTCCCAACTCTGCCACTAACTGGCTGTGCAGTCTAGGCCGAGTTTTGCCCACTCTTCCAGTCTTATCTCTGCGTAACGGGAATAACACTGATCTCGAGGGTCGTGTGCGGGCGGGATGTAAATGGCTGAGCCCCAGAGCCTGCACTAGGGGCCGGATCTTGCTGGCCGCGGCCCTAACCCCTGCCCATCCGTCGGTCCGTCCCGCAGGCGCCCTGGAGGACCTGGAGCGCGCGCTGGAGCTGAGCGGCGGCCGAGGTCGCACCGCCCGCCAGGGCTTTGTGCAGCGCGGGCTCGTGGCGCGGCTGCAGGGCCGGGACGACGACGCCCGCAGTGACTTCGAGCGGGCGGCGCGGCTGGGCAGCCAGTTTGCGCGCCGCCAGCTGGTGCTGCTCAACCCGTACGCGGCGCTGTGCAACCGCATGCTGGCCGACGTGATGGGGCAGCTGCGCCGGCCCCGCGACGGGCGCTGAGCGCTGGCAGGCGGGAGAGCGAGGAGTGTGGGGGGATGCGCCAGCAACCAATAAAGCTGTCGGTTCGCCCAGCCCCCGCCTATGTCCGCGTCCGCTCGCCGATCCTCGCAGCGATGCACGCTCAGGGGTCCCCTACGCATGAGACGGTCCCGGATCCGCCGCCGGGGAGGAAGGGCCCATAGGGCCGAGATCGGGCATCGATTGGCCCTGCCTGGCGCAGCCCCGGGCCCTGCGGCGGACTGCGGTGCTCCGCAGGCCTGAGCAGTCGCTCTGGCTGCGCTCGGGGAGTGAGCCAGGTGAGCTGCCCAGGAAGGCTGGGCGGAGGCGGGAGCGGGGATGTTTCTTCTCTACTCCTGCGTCCTGGTTCACCTTGTCTTCGGCCCAGATCCGGAGGATGGGAAAAGAGAAGCGGGCAGGAGAGAGCCGGGGTCGGGAGAAGGACGGTCCTTTTTGGGGAGGGGCTTGTATACCCGACTGTCTGCGTCTGTGTGTGTGTTGGGGGGGGGGGGGGGGGGGGGGGGGGGGGGGGGGGGGGGGGGGGGGGGGGGGGGATAGGTGGGTGGGTGTGATAGGTGGGTGAGTGTGTGTGTGTGTTGTGCGTCTTGGCCTGGTACGGGCTGCACGGTTGCTCGTTGTTTCTGTGTACCTGCGAGCGTGTGCCTGTTTGTCCCTTGGAGTCAGGACTCAATTCTGCGCCCGCAGGGTGTACAGGTACGTGCCAACCTGGGTTTGGACCATGGGCCTTGATCATTTACATCTTTGCCTTCACCACTGTGGGTCATTCTACATTTGTGTTTCCGTGCATGGTTCATTTTTGTTTCTGAGATAAATTCCTGGAGGAGTTACTAAACTTGCCTGCTCTCACCTGGCTACTAACATCAAGGCCCGCCCCCTTCTCTCAGCAGCCTGGGGCCCAGGCCTGTGCCACCATGGCACTGCCTCCAGGGCCAGCTACCCTCCTGCACACACTTCTGCTCTTGCCGGCCCTTCTGAGCTCAGGTACACCCCTGTTCATCCCTTGGCATGTGTTTGTGGGGTCAAGTCCCTGTCTCTCCCCTCCTTGCCTGCATCTTCAGTTTGGGTACCCACTTTAGACACCAGAACTGGGCTCTCCTCATCCACCTACCAAGGTCCAGCCAGTCCCTGGTGAGAGAACCCAGGTCCCTCTGGAACTGGACCTCACCCATGTCACATAACAGTACTAACTGTCCACCAGCTCTCCCCAGACTCCACTATGTTCTAGGTTGGGGGGAGCTGGCGCCACAAATTGATGGTCAGACCTGGGCAGAGCGGGCACTTCGAGAGAATGAACGCCATGCCTTCACCTGCCATGTGGCAGGGGGACTTGGCACCCCTCGATTGGCCTGGTACCTGGATGGACAGCTGCAGGAGGCCAGCACCTCGAGACTGCTGAGTGTGGGCAGGGAGGCCTTCTCTGGAGGCACAAGCACTTTCACTGTCACTGCCCAGCGGGCCCAGCATGAACTCAACTGCTCCCTGCAGGACCCAGGCAGTGGCCAGTCAGCCAATGCATCCGTTATCCTCAATGTGCAATGTGAGTGCCCCTCGGGTGGCCAGAGAGGGGTTCTCTGCCCAGGGACCCCCAACAGCCACCAGGCAGGCAGTTTGCTAGGATGTTTTAACACTTACATACTTTGCAAATATTAACTCACTTTATCCTCACAACAATCCTATGAGTTAATTACTATTGTCCCCATTTTATAAATCCGAAAACTGAGGCACAGAGAGGTTAAGCAATCTGCCTGGGTCATAGAGCTGGTAAGTAGCAGAGTCAGGATTCTGGACATTTGGTTCTAGTGTTTATGCCCTTATGAAATACTGTTTCTGGCAGACCCAGCCATCCTTTTTTCTGGTGCCCCCTAAGGAGAGGTTCAGGCCCCTGGCTCCCTTCTGGGTTTGGGAAGAAAGGGCAAGGCAAGCAAGGGGCTGTGGTGGGAACATAGTGGTCTCTGCTTTGCACCAGTTAAGCCGGAGATTGCTCAGGTTGGGGCCAAGTACCAGGAAGCTCAGGGCCCAGGCCTTCTGGTCATCCTCTTTGCCCTCGTGCGTGCCAACCCGCCTGCCAATGTGACCTGGATCGACCAGGATGGGCCAGTGACTGTCAACACCTCGGACTTCCTGGTGCTGGATGCCCAGAACTACCCCTGGCTCACCAACCACACCGTGCAGCTGCAGCTCCGCAGCCTGCCACACAACCTCTCGGTGGTGGCCACCAACGACGTGGGTGTCACCAGTTCCTCGCTTCCAGCCCCAGGTGAGCACTGCCAGCCACGGGCCCAGCAGAGCCTCGGGTGAGTGTAAGGTCAGGGTACAGAAATGGGAAGACTTGTCTCTTGGGTGAGTTCTCATGAAAGCTGTCCCCAGCCACCTTGGGCAAAGAGGACAGGGTAGGGACCTGTGGCATCTCCGAATCAGGGGTCATGCCCGCTTGGAACTAACCAGAGGACTACCTGCAGGGCTCCTGGCCACCCGGGTGGAAGTGCCACTGCTGGGCATCATTGTGGCTGGAGGGCTTGCCCTGGGCACCCTGGTGGGGTTCAGCACCTTGGTGGCCTGCCTGATCTGCAGGAAAGAGAAGAAGACCAAAGGTAAGGCCAAAGCAAGGGGGGACAGAGGATGCTGGGAGCGCAGAGATGCGGTCAGGGGTGAGGGTGAAGCACGGGCAGTGACTGGCGCTGGGCAGGTCTCTGACAAGTGGTAGGACAGGTCTTCCTGGGTGTGGCCGTGGTTTAGACCACACACATCCCAGGGAGCCGTGCTGGGCACTGGAACCCTGTCTGGTCATCTGAGAGGCCCCTTGCCCGAGGGACCTGGGCCTGGGAGGGCAGGGTCAGAGCCCAGAGAGGGTGGGTGCACTGAGACAGTGCTGTGATTTCTCTCTCCTCAGGCCCCTCCCGGCGCCCATCCCTGATCTCTAGGTAACTCTCCTGGGGCTGTATGGAGGGGCCAAATGGAGAGGTGGCATGGGGACAGGCGGGATCCTGGGCTTTCTGGTGGTTCTGGAATGGGCTCCAAGCAGGAATCTGTTCCCACTGGTGCCAGGGCCCATCCGAGCCTTTGTCCTCCCGTAGCAACTCCAACAACCTGAAACTCAGCAACGTGCGCCTGCCACGCGAGAACATGTCCCTCCCATCCAACCTTCAGCTCAATGACCTCACTCCAGACTGCAGAGGTACACCCAGCAAGCTGTTTGCCCCAGCTTTATCTTCAGAGGGGCTTCTGAAAAAAAGAGACACGCTGGACCTCAGGAGGGGCTAGGCCCCATCGGGCACACGCCTCATCCCGGGCGCCACCCCGTTTGTCCCCCCACAGGGAAACCAGCAGACCAGCAGACGGCTCAGGACAACAGCAGGCCAGACCTTCTGGACCCGGAGCCTGGTGGCCTCCTCACCAGCCGAGGTAGGGAAAGCGGCCTGCTGCCTCGCTCCCTTGCCCTCCCACGTGTGCCAAAGGCCTCTGAGTCGCCAAGGGCAGAGAGTGGTCTCCAAGCTTCCAAGAAATGAGGGTGACCGAGTCTCCTGGCATCTGTGACCCCGCAGGTTTCATCCGCCTCCCAATGCTGGGCTACATTTACCGGGTGTCCAGTGTGAGCAGTGATGAAATCTGGCTCTGAGATGAGGCCAAGAGAGAAGATACCTTCTTGGCCCCTGGGCATCCTCCTGGTCCTCGTCCAAGGCATCCTTTGCATGGCCATGTTGCCAATGGGAAGAGGCCATGCCTCTGCCACTTTTGCTTGCCTGGGGGCACGGGTATTCTTGGCTAGGCTGCCAGCTGGACCTACTCCTGGCTGGACCTGGACCTGTTCTGACTCCAGTTGGGGGCCTGCATGACTGCCCGTGCCCAGGTGTGCCTGGAGGTCAGCCAGCATCTAAGCGTGGCATGGCCCTGCTGGCTCGGGCCGGCTCTGCCCCGCACCAGTGCTCCTCAGCACTGTGTACAACAAGCATGGGGCATGCTTGGTTGGGGGGCGGGGGGCCTTGCACGTCCTGGATTTCCTTCACATGCTGTGCAGCTTTGTTCCCTCAGGGAAAACTTAGGACCCTGCTAGCTGTAGAGAACCAACCTGCCCTTTCCAATGAACCCACCCCTGATCCAGGGGTGCTGGTGAAGCACAGACCAGTCCTTTTTGCTGCATCTCTCTGCCCCTCTGCGCCCACCCCCTCTTGGGCATCGTAGGTTATATGCTGGACCTTCATTTCTTCACTGGGCACTAGACTTCCCCACTGGCCTGGGCCCCAGTGGTGTCAGAGCCTGGTATTAGCACAAGTCAGGAGACAAGAGGGAGGTGAGAAGTCTGGTGCCTCCAGGACTGCATGCAGCTGTGCCTCGTTTTTCACAGCGGTTGCACTTGAAGCACATCTCCTGGGAAGGGAGTGTGGGCCCCGGGCCCTGCTGTGGCTTTCCCGAGTTTGGCCTTTTTATGACTCACTGTGAGTGCCCTGAGCCCTTGGGGTTGATGGGTTTCTGCTCAAAATATCTCCCCCTTCCATGGGCGCCTGGCCTTGACCTCCCCACCAGCAGGAAACTGTTCTTGTCCCATCCTCCGTTCTTTAGGGGATGGTCACAGTAGCACATAATTTGACAGTGCTGGGAACCTTAGGGAGCTGTGGGAAAGGAGGGGAGATCACATATCCCAGAACAACCCAAGTACACTGTTGAAAGGCAACATGAAAGATTGCAAATTAATAGCGTGCAAAGTATATTTTTCCCTTGTTGATACCTTGTTTTGTAATTTCTCTCGATACCGCCAAGAACAGTGCTGAGCACACAGTAGGTTCAATAAACTTGACTGAGTGAATGTCACATGTCTGTTTCATTCCTTCAAAAAAAAATTTTTTTTTAATTCTCCATTTATCTCTGCTCTAATCTTTATTTGCTTCCTTCCACTATCTTTGAGTTTAGTTTGTTCTTTGTCTAATTCCTCGGGTTGTAAAGCCAGACTGAGTACTTAAATTTACTGCTTTATTTGGCTGTGCCCGGTCTTACTTGTGGCATGTGAGATCTAGTTCCCCAACCAGGGATTGAACTTGGGCCCCCTGCACTGGGAATTCAGGAGTCTTAGCCACTGGACCACAAGGGAAGTCCCTTGAGTACTTTTTTAATGTAAGCATTTATAACTACAAATTGCCTCTGAGCACTGCTTTCGCTGTAGCCCATAAGTTTTGGAATGTTGTGTTTTTGTTCTCATTTATCTCTAAGAATCTTAAGTTATTTTCCAACTTCCCTTGTGATTTCTTTGCCCCATTGGTTAAGTATCATTTAACTTCCGCAGAATTTTTCAGTTTTCCTTATGTTGTTGATTTCTAACTGCTCTTCATGGTGGTCTGAGAAAGTACTTTGTATGCTATCTACCTTTTGAAATCTGTTGAGACTTAATTTGTGCCCTAACATATGTTCTATCCTGGAACATGTCCCATGTGCACTTAAGTGTATTCTCTGCTGTTGGCTAGAGTTCTGTTTGTGTCTGTTAGAACTAGTTGGTTTATTGTGCTGCTTAGGATATTTCCTTACTTATCTTCAGTCTGGGTGTTCTATCCCTTATTGAGAGTGTCTTGCTATTATTGTAAAACTCTTTCTCCCTTCAGTTGTCAACTTCGCCTCACATATTCTGAAAGTCTGTTATTAGGTGTGTAAATGTTTATAATTGTTGTATCTTCTTGCTGTACTGTATGTTCCTTTTATAAGTCTCCTACTTTTATTTCATGGATGTGGTATTTTCTCATCTCTCTGACAGTGGTTCTCAAATTTTTCTGCATATTGAAATAATCTGAGGAGCTTAAAAAATACAGATTCTTATATCCTACTTTCAGAGGTTGTGATTTCATTAGTCTGGTGTATTGTCTGGGAGAGGAAATTTATCTTTAGAAGATCTCCAGTTGATTCTAACATGCAACCAAATTTGAGAACTACTTCTCTATGAATATTATAGTTAAAAAAAAGTTTAGTTTCTCTGATTTTCTTTGCTGTATTTTACTCTTTTTCTGGCTTTCTTCAAATGCCTAGTGACTGTACATTCATATTTAAGAATGAGAGCTGCAGGCATGCCTCTGTGTATACACACACACACACATATACACACAAGGAGAAACCCCAAAGCTGAATGCAAGCTGATGGGTAGGTAGCAGGACCGAGGCATTTGCTTAGATTACCCCATCAATATCTTTAGGTCTTTTCTCTTTGGCTGCTTAGGACTCTTCCAATATTCTGCTTTGGAGGGATAAGCCTGGAAGAGGGCTGAGAGCCTCACCGTTCATTCCTCTATTTTATCCTCTTATTTTAAATTTGGCCCCTTATTCCTGTTCTCAGAGTTGCTTAGTATTCTCACGTCCATTATCCACCCAGCTGCTCAAGCCTAAAAACCTGCAAGTCGTTCTTGATTTCTTCTCTTCCATCCCCCACATCCACTCTATCACCAAGTTCTGTTGGTTCCACCTCTGCTGGTTATTTCTCTGTTGTCTCTTACCCCACACCCTCCCTACTGTACTCTATGCTGCCCAGTTTTCCAGATTCCCTTGCCAACTGTTAATTTCTGCCAGTGGGAGGCGCCTGGCAGAACAGGAGAGGGTGGGAAAGGAGGGTGGCTGTCGCCTGGGAAGAGGGGCTATGGAACTGCTCGGCAGTCCTGACCCCAGTGGCAACTCTTCTGTTTCCAACCCCCGCAGTGGACACTAAACCCTTGTTCCTTAAGCACCTTCATTCTCCCTTTTGTTTCTTCAGCCCTTCAGACACTTTTGTAACCAGTTGCCCATATTTAACATCCTTTGTTAGAATTTGTCTTCCTGAGTAGAATTTAGGTGATATAACCTTCAGAAAATTTCCCCAGTCTGTCCACCTCTACCACTACCACCCTAATCCAAGACCCCATCCTCTCTCCCCTGGGTGGCTGCAGTAGCTAGGCTCCCTGAGACCACAGCCGGACAGGCAGGCAGCCTGTAAGACCGGCAGCAGTACCTGGTGGGAGACTCCCAGAAAAAATAGGTTCTGGGAGAAAAATGTTTCCCCTCTACTGCCAACCTTGAAGGATTGGGGTTTGATTTTATTTCTGAAGGTTGATTTGCTTAAACTGCAAGTCACTGAATGCCTCTAGGCCAAGTTTCTCATCTCTGCCTACGGTCAGTCTGCCTTCTCTCTTCTTTATTAAAGGACAGCAGGATAACCGGAAAGATAAGAGCATTTTATTTATAAAACCGTTGCCAATTGACTTTAAGAATGAAAGAAAACAATCCTATTGCTATCTCAAAAACAACATCTTTCCAGCCTTCCTCCCAGCCTGAGCAGCCTGGGATCCCAGGAATTCCAGTGCTTCTAGCTCAAATCCCCACAGTGGTGTCAACGCATACTTTCCGTGTGAAGGAGCTCTGAAACAGGCATTAGCCATTTAATGGTCGCAAGCAGTGCTTTCTGGCAGAAACAGTAGTAGGATGTGCGCCATGCCTGAGTCAAGCTGTGAGGCAGGCAAAGCTGCCAGGAGGCTGACAGTGATCCCTCCTCAGCCGGGGCAGAGGAGCTGGCTCAGCCGTGAAACAGAGCGACATGGGAGGTGTCTCAGCTGAAGGTTAATGTCTCGGCATCTCCAGCCTGGGAGTTGGAGTTGGATGGAGGGGTGAATGCTGTCTTGCCTTCAGCTAGAGCTTTAAAATGCTGTGAGGAGAGAGGAGAGGGAATATGGAGGATGGGGGGATATGCTAGTTATGACATTTTATCAAGAACTAACCTCTTCATAGGGCTTCCCAGGTGACTCTAGTGGTAAAGAACCTGCCTGCCAATGCAGGATATGGAAGAGACATGGGTTTGATCCCTGGGTCAGGAAGATCCCCTCGAAGAGGGCATGGCAACCCATCTAGTATTCTTGCCTGGAGAATCCCATGGACAGAGGAGCCTGGTGGGCTACAGTCCATGGGGTCGCAAAGAGCTGGACACAAATAAAGCAACTTAGCACACACACAACCTCTTTACAACTCTTTAAGCTCCATTTTTCTCCCAATTCTACTTTTAAAACAATTTCTTGGTGTTGTCTTTGAAAAATAGCTAGAAATGTGCCCTACCTCCTTCAAACATGAACCCCCTTTTTCCCATGCTTCCTGCTTCCATTCATTAGGCCACTTGGTTCTGTAAGATTGAGTGTCCAGTGTAGATCCTCACCTACCCTAAGGGCCGCATGGCTTCTATTTCCCCTTCCTTTACAAGCCCTACCCCTGCCTGCTTCACAGTTCCCTCATCATGGGGAGGGTAATGATAACTCCAGGCAGAGACCTCCTCCTCCACTGTGCCAGAATCACAGCAGACTGAGAACAGTGCTGACAGCAGTCACTACAGCTTAAGTCAGTCTCCAGTGCTGGTCTTACCTGTGAGTTCTTGAATTCCGAGTAGAGGGAAAAGAGCAGATGGAGGGACTGAATTCTACTCTTGTAGACAGGAATGTCTAGGATGGCTGAAATCGAGAACTCCCATGAGCAGAAACAAAAAAAAATCTGGGAATATGGGGCATTTCTGTTTAGGTGGCCAGTCCCTTCCCAGATGGAATGTGTTACTTTAAGGGTTAAATACCCAGCAGGTAGTCACAAAAACCCAAACACCACCCTCAAGTGCTGCCAAAAAGCATAACTGGCTTAAAGAAAAGGTTGTAACTCAGAGTAAAAAAGCCTTTTCAACAGCCCACAGTGAATTTATCCAAAGACAGGGCCAAGGAAGGGACAGGAGGGCTTACCACAGATCATATCAATGTACTCTGCCAGGCTGCAATCAATCTCTGCTGTGGGCAGGCTCACCTAAGAGAGGCATGGGGCAGACCCAAATCAAAAGGCTGAAATTTCAGTGGTCCTAGCATTATTCTCTTTCTCTGAAGGAAAGGAGCTCCGAGCATAAGGGGTGTGTTGGGCTGAATTGTGTTCTCCTCAAATTTATATGCTAAAGTCTTGACCCCAAGTGTGTCAGGTGGTGTATTTGGAGATATTGTCATAAAAGAGATAAGTTAAAATGAGATCAATGGGATGAACCCTAATCCAGAGTAACTGGAATCCTTATAAGAGGAAATTAGGACACAGACACACATAGAGGAAAGACCACATGAAGACACAGGTAAGAGACAGTCAAGGAGAAAGGCTCTAGAAGAAATCAGCTCTGTGGACAGTTTGATGTCCAACTTCCAATAGTGTGAAAAAATAAATTTCTTTTGCTTATGCCACCCAGTCTGTGGTACTGTGTTATGGCAGCCTAAGCAAATAATATAATTTTTTTTTCCTGATCAGTAAAATGGAATTGGTCATACTCATTAACCACTGAAGTAGCAGAAGATATAACAGGGCTAAAATATTTTATAAGTAAAATACACTGCCATGCAGTCTTCCTATATTTGTGAAGAAGAAACTGGACCCAGGTTATGGCCAAGTATTTATAGTTACTTGGAGTTACAAGGCCTAATGGTCCTTGGACACCATAGGAACAGAAAAAGTGACATGGTATCTCAGGCTCCAGATCAAAACCAGTTCATACTGTAAGTTTAAAAACCATAAGCATCTTAAAAACTTTTTGTTCTCTTTTTATAAAAATCAGGGTGTAATTTTATAAAAATCAGGTTCTGCAATTTCCTTTTTCCAACATATAGTTGATACTTCTCTGTATCAGAGCAAAATAAGGCCAAATAATTCATCGTGTGAATATTTCACTGACTGGATGTACCACAATCTATCAATTCAGTTCCCTAGTCAGACATTTTTTCCTCAGCTACAGTTTTTAAATTATGTGATAAAAGAGATTGAAATCAGATTCTTTGTTTTTTTACAATAATTTCTCAATAAACATAT